TCCAGACCTTAGGGTTACCCTTAATAATAACATTTCTTAATAATAAGACGCGTGTATATTATACCGCTTAATATCGTTTATGAAATACGATCTTTTTTTTATTACAGAGATAAATTTGTGCATTATTTATCTCAATGCAGACGCCCACTCTGATATTTCATCTGGCGAGCACATCTGTAAATAAATTTGATTAGAATAATTATACAATATTGATTATTTTATACAATATCTATATTTTTTAAAATGATCTACTGACGAGCGCTGTTAAAGAGTCCATAGTAAAAAAATAGTGTTTATTGAATTTGCATATCATATACAATAAATTACCGAACGAAATAAAAGACTTAACTTGTGTAAAATTTAAAAAACTTTTGTTTTCCCTTTTAGTCAACAAATGTTATTACTCAATAAATGATTACCTAATGGACGAAACATAATATTGTAATAAATTGATGAATAAAAAATGAATAAAATATACAACTTAATCATGTATCTATCTATCATTGTTAATTTTGATTAATATGTACTACCTACATTCGGAGCAAATAAATATTATTATTATTATTATTATCATAGTACTTGTAACGATTTATAAGTGAATTATAAATAAGATCAACATTTCTAATAAGTTTTTGACCCAGATTTTGTCTCTTCACAGAGAATATTCCTAGAGAAAAATAATTGCTAACAAATGTAGGTATGTAAATGGATGTTCTATTTTTCATAATTTAACAATGATATCTAACAACTCAAAAATAAATACCGTTAAATTTTTCTATTTTTATATTTAATTACTGTCATAAAATATATTTGATTAAAGTTATTCCATTTCCTCTCTACGATAGACATTAAATATACGTGTTATGAATGACAATAACAATCAGACGTGATTTAAAAAAAAAATACAGCGCTTTTGTCATCTATAATGACAATATCTCTATTTTGTATATCTATTGTTTAATTTATCAAAATTATAGTAGCACAAAATTACTATCCGACATTTTAATATGCGATTTAGCAATGTCATTTTACTAAACTCAAAATGCAACATAGACTAATTTTAATCAGCGTCATTAAACACTTATAAATTCTTAGTAAACAAGAAACTTTCTGCACAAAGATAAAAATATTTTTACAGCTCTGACGAACTATCTGATTGGTCGTGTCTTGTTAATGCGGGACCCTAAAAAAATTTTGGCGATATAACAATAAAATTTTAAAAGAATGAGACTGTCATTCTTGTAGGTAATAAACTTTGTTTATAATAAGGATAACGAACGAATCAAATATTTAATAATATTTACATAAATGCATTTACAAAACAGTGCTATGTCTATCCAAATTTTACAACCGACTCTGAGAAATAGATCAATGATTAATCGTAACTTATTAAAGAGCTATGAGCCAACTATCTGCCAGTCATACAACCCCACTGTGAACACGTGTTCAAATCACTATACCATTTACAGAGCATTACGTCATGTGAAACGAAATTCACTGTATCCTTTCGTGGTTACAATACATATGACGAAAAATACCAAAGCAATAACTACATATGTATATAAATATCGATAAAATGTCACAGCACGATAATCATTTCATACTTTTTAAGAAATTACCATGTTACGATGGTGTTAATTTTAAAACTGATCTAATATGAATATGACCATAATAACAGGATAACCGCAACATTCTGGACATCTTATTTCTAAGCCCTAACGTCATCGGGATGCGAACGACACGTGACTCACCTCGTCATATGACTCACTAACACCATACGTATTATTACACGAATTATAAAGAATAATTTATATATAACTGTTATATATGCATTTAATGTCATATTATATGTATATTCTATTATATTGTAAGTTTATACTAATCTCGCTAGCGAATTTTCGCTTAATTAGTAACTTTAATGAAGGAAACTATTATGAAGTCTATCGGATGTGATAGTTAATGAATCATTTGTATCCAATTAATGTCCTGCTTCATTTAATATAACTTGTTGAAATAGAACGAAATTGTGCATATATCTAATTATGTATACAAAAATATTGTGATACAAGTATTTAAATTTTCCGAATTAAAAGCGAATATATGCATATTATATAAATAACGGTATTAAATATTTATTCTAGAATATAGTTTTTTTTTAATTTCCACAACGTTCTTTAAAGACCTATTAATTAAAATATTAATCTCAACATCGAAATAAAAACAGAGAAAAAATATTGCAATTTGCAAATATTAAAAGCATAATTATAAAACGTTATTCAGCCAGAATTATAGGCTATTAAAAATATATATTAAAAAAAATACTTTCCTCAAAAAATCCAATAAGTTTTTATGCTGTAAGACATTAAATCTTCTAGCCAACCTTAATTATAAGGATCCATTGTTTTTACCGTATTGTACATAACAAGGCACGTCCTGAGCAGACTAAGATAACTTTAATTAGGTCGAGGGAATCAAGAAAGTTGAATGATTTAAATTGAAAATGTATTACGAATAACTTGCAAGGATTAAATTCATTTATTACTCTTTTAATTACAATGGCAAAGAATCAATACATCAGCCAACATCCAAGTGTGAATGCAATTTAAATCACAATCGATTGAATATGCCCTTCCTGTAACATGCAGATCAACTTAATGAGAACACTTATACATAATCAAATAACACATCAACTATATAAAACCAATTTACACTCGCATCTCGTCTGCCCGTGATCACGGTTACTGAAAAGTAGCGCGTAGTAGTAGTCGCGAGCATTTTACAATAATAAAGTCGCGTAGTATCCGAAAAGTATAAGATTTAAATGAATAAAACTCGCGAAAATATTAAATATTATTATGTAAACCAATGTAAGTATAATATATAAGTATCGATAATGAGGATTCAATATTATTAACAGTGAATCAATGTACATTTAGGTAACAATAACATCCGGTCACTATGGATACAAAACAGTGTTTTGCGTTCTCTATTTTACCTGTTTATAGTTTTTATAAAATAATTTAACTTTAATAAAGCTTAATATATAATTATATTGTATATGTGTGGGTCACTGAGCTCCTCATAAGCGGCTGGACTCAGCCGCTTAGCCGCTTAGCTTTGAATGGGTTTTTTGTATGCATTTAAATGTTTATGTTTAAATTTACAAATAAACACAATTGTTTTAACACATTTCATACATTTCTTTCTGCTTGCACCTCGAATGTTTACGCGGATGGAGTCACGATCAAAAACTAGTGTATATATATATATAGCAGTTCGTATTTAGAAATATAAAGAAAAAAAAAAATTTTTTTAGTCACAGTATTTTTTTTATATTAAGTTAACCTACTTACAGTATTATAATATTGAACTACATACATATTATAGGAAGCTTTTTTAAATTTGAGGCGATCAATATTCATACGTATATAAGCGGTCGAATTATTTTTTGATCAGACGACCTTTTCGCTGTGGGTCAAATAAGGATCGGTTATTATGCTTGGGCAGTTTAAATTGGAAAGTTACAAAAATATATGTCAATAATATGTATATATGTATAGTGTAAAATTAGAGTTTCGTCTATAACCAACTGACAACTGTACGAATTATTTCTCTTAAAGAAATCAAACTTCACAAAATTAGTGAACAACTGAACTACAACTGAACTGTTTTATAAATGTCATATAAATACTATGTGTGATATTGAATACTAAACAATAATAATTCAAGATGGTATTCAAGTAGACTGATTACCGCCAGCTTCATTAAAACTGCGTATAATATTATCGATTATTGAACACGTAAATAGATTCTAACAGCGTCATTCGTGACAATATTCATGTGACGTACATAATCCCTGCCTTACCACGAGTGTGCATTTTCACACTACATAAGGTGAGTTTCCAGTTTTTCAATCATAAATTGGACATTATCGTGTGCGAAGATTTAGAGTAGTACGTGAAATGATACTAATATTTTCTGATTACTATGTGTATTTTATTATTTTTAAAAATTACATACTCCCGACGTTTCGGTTAATTTGTAGCAATCACGATCCGGCAGACGAGATGTGTATTGAAAATCAGTTTTTAAAAATAATACCGAAACGTCGATACTATACGCTCCAGTAATTACGCGCAGTAATTAGGAAATATTCCTATTATTTAAATGAAAAAAATCTTAGATCTCCTTATGTACTACGTAAAAATATAAAAGTTCTACTAAATTATAAGTGTCGAATCATAACTATTTAGTCGGTTTTCTTGCATCTGTGTTTAAATTCCCACTGGGTTCGTTCAACCTAACTAAATCGCTGTGCAACACGAAACTACATAGAGTCCGATATAAATTTAACAGCCAGCAAACGATGTCTGTAATAACAGAACTTGTTACAAAAACTGTGTTTTGACATACCGAAATATTTCAATGTTTCAATCAACAATTCCTCTGGAAATAAATTGCTCGCATTTTTGCAACTATGCTTCTACAATCGTCTTTGTACATATTTTATCGTTTTTTAAAGAATTCATATTAGACTAGTTTATATGCTAACATGAAACCCAGACTAATATGAATTCTGTAAAACAAAAATATCTGAATATTTTCTGATATTAGGTTAACTATATTTTAGCTGCGATTTTGCCTGTTTTTTACTTACTACTCACATTAATACATAATTCTGTTTATATTAAGCTTGGTTATATTTTGAATTTTTAAATATTATCATCTAAAGTACAAGTCTCATTACATACCAACATCCATATATTTAAAAAAAAGCCCATTAAGATTACACTACTATAATATATCTCGTATCTGTTATGTTTATTACTTATTAAATATTTTGTAACCACAAACGGATAGTCAAATATTATGTAGGTAAAGACTTAATACTTTAGCTACCAACTTCAGATTAGTTTTTCCATGTTACGAAAGTAACAATGTTCAATATATAATACTAACTATGGTTATTTTAACTGATAATAAGACGTATTTTTTTCCAGGTGGTACCACGTTTACTTGGCTCTCTAGTCGGAGGTGCTATGAGTCCTACACAGCATTTGGAGCAGCAGCAGGCTTTGGTCAAACAATTCGCTGAAATATTAGAGTTCGTGCTCAAATTCGACGAACACAAAGTAAGTATTATTAAAATACTAGCTTTCAGTCCGCAGCTTCGCCCGCGTGGAGTTCGGTTATATCGCGTTTCCAAGAGAAGCTTTCAAAAGTCTGGGATAAAAACTATTATATGTTCTTTCTCAAGGTCATCTTTATCTCTGTACAAAATTTCATTAAAATCAGTTCAGTGGTTCAGGCGTGAAAGCGAAACAGACAGACAGACAGAGTTACTTTCGCATTTATAATATTAGTAGGGATACCACTAGTATTATTTACATTGTGTTTTTTTCTCAGTTGCAAGTATGCTTTTATGTTTATGATGTCTATACAATGTGCTTGCAAAATGATTATGCAAATTTTGATTGAGTTCATTCTCTCGCTTATTATTACTCAGTCAGTGTGGCTTTAGAGTTAATTCTGTGCAATACATGTAGAATGTGACTTGTTTTAAACTGATGTATACATTAAAAATAGTTGATAGATTGTATAGTTATTATGTCATAGATAGTTTTTTATACATAGATAGTTATAGATACTGTCGCTCTAACGAGACCTAGATCAAGTGACAAGCCTTCGTGTAGGACCTGTTCAACACTAGAATTTATCAAAGGCTAGCTCTGAAGAGATGTTGAACTTATTACTTACCTTACCTTTTATGAATTCCTTTTATCGGTATAAAAGTTTCATATACAGATTATTTTTTTGCATATTAAACATAACTAACTGTTGTCTGTGGCTTTGCTCGCGTTTTAAACCTTTTTTTGAGTTAGTTAGGTTATGACTTTTTATTCGAATTAATCAATGGCAATATTTCAGGTCAATAACCTTTCGATATAATAAGTTTTTTTGAAAATCATCTTTTAATTGAATGAGTAACAGCGTAACAAACGTGTTATCTAATAGAAAACTACTTTCTTTTTGAAGTCGGTTAAAACAAAGCCTTAACTACTCATTATGACATTGCCGACTTGAGAGTGAAATTCTCTTCGAAATCGGTTCAACTATTTTAAAGATACGCCGGAACAAACAGTCAGACAGACAAAAATTTTCAGTAAAAAATATGTAAGATCGAAATTACATACACTTCCATTTTATTTATTAACAGAGATATATTTTCTTTGTGTTTTCTTTGTAAAATAGAAATCTATTTGTATTTATAATATCTATAAAGTCAGCATCATTATAATATTTCCGCAGTAACAAACACCTATTATGGTAACAAGTGATTACACTATAGTAATTAAAGAACAATTAAATGAATCATCTGAACAAATCCAAGCTTGATTTAAATCATTCCAACAAACAATAGTGTAGATGATCTCAAAACTTGAGACAATTCACATACCACACCGTTTAACATAACAATTTTTTGCTCCTTTAATTTATTATCTCATCTTCTTCTTCTACCTGGCAAATTCCCAGCTTTAGCCAGGTTCTGCCTTACATGTTGTGAATAGTTTTGACTAATTGTTTTTACGACCGGTCGCGTGCCTGACATCAACCCTCTTTGGGAATGCATTAAACAGTGATGTCTTAATACTCTCAGAAAGTACATATGACTCGGAAAAATCACATTGGTACTTGCCAGGGCCAGGATCGCACCCGCGCCCTCGTGCATGAGAGGCGGGCCTTTTAACCACTAGGCCAACACTGACTTTATTAACTATCTCATCTTATCTCCATTTATCTATAGATAGAAAGGTCAAACAATACACGTTAAAAGTCATACCTATATATTATATAGATCTAGTATATGCAATTCTCGTATCAATTGATTCAATTGCTATTAGTTAGACCCACTGTATATTAGCAATCATTATTATGTAAACATGTCACTGGCTGATATGACCCTTAAATTAAATAAACGCTTTGACGATTGAAGCTCTTATGAATAAAGCTATCTCTTTTTTCATCGAACCCTTTAATTATTTACGCCTATACGACCTTTTTAGTCGACATATATAACCTTTTCGATCTTTATGTCATTTCATTTTTAGTCTTTGTGACCTATGTACTACTTATCTGAATTTTTGTAGAACTCGATTCAAAAATTCCTACGTATAAAAACACATAAATATAGCATTTATAATATTAGTGGATTTTTTTTTTCGTGTAACAAATCTCAAATTTTTATTCACGTTTCAAATTAAATGGCACTGTACTTCACTTGACATAAAATGAAATGTCGTATGACTTTCATATTAAATATGTTGCAACGTTTTACACAATATTTTTTAAATTACACCGTCCTCTCTGTGGTTTAATAGTTCTCTGGTAATTGCATTCGCATATAATATTTTCATAAAATATCATCTATTCATTGAAATGAACGATAAGAAATGTATTGAATATTGAAAAAATATTGTTGCTTAATTTTATTATGAATCATTACTTAACTAAAACTAAATGTTTATATTGTTCAACCTAAATTTAAGATTTGAAAGTCTATCGATTGCTTTATACGGTCTGTCAAACGCTCCGATGTGACAGGATATCGTGCTGAGCGGATAAATGCGGAATAAGGATGCGTTCACATTAAATAGGAACTTATAAATATCACAAAGAGTTCAAATTTCAAATCCGAGTGTCAATTCCGATTTGATTAAACATCAAAGTAGGGCGTAAACTGTTATTCGTATGACTTACGGAGCGTAGCGGAAATCCGACCTTATTATTATTGATATAAGATCTAAGATATCCGCGGTATTGTAACAAAGAAAGTAGGTCGACGTTTTATTTTGACGATTTTTGAACGTATCGTGCATAGATAATAATTAATGTGCAATGAATAATTGGAATTACTTTTGTACTCATCACAATTATTATATATATCACTTTACATGAACTATTTAAAATTCTTTTATTTTCCGTTTTTTTTATAAATTATGTTATACTAAAAAATAAAACTTCAAATTCTTGTTGAAGTGAGTATTATGAACAGTATAAAAACATGTGTTTCTCATATTAAATATAAAATGTGTCAGGTAAAAATATGTGCATGAATTGCCCACACTGACTCAGAGCCGATTTGTTTATTTTCTTGTTAAGTGGGTTGAGAAAAAATAAATAAATTTGTAACTATTCTCGCTCAGAAACACCGTAAACACGAGATAACTATATTATTATGTTTTATTCTGACCGATTAACTGTTTTGTTTATTGAATTGTAAATTATCATTTTTAATAACGTGTGTATATTTACGTCCAATCAAGTTGTAGAAATTTATTTTAAAATTTTTGGTTTTTCTTTGGTTATATTTGAATGTTTATCGGACTTAATTTAATGAGCAATTTTCAACAAAATCCAGATGAAAACACCAGCTATCCAGAACGACTTCAGTTATTACAGAAGAATAGTTTCACGCGGAGGTCTAATAAACGCTGAACTTCCACCGGGCGAAGAACCCCACATAGGCGCGGAGGTGGCCAACAGAATGTCCCTTTTCTACGCTCAAGCTACACCAATGCTCAAAGTGTTGTCAGAAGCGACCAGCCAGTTCGTGAATGATAATCAACAGGATTTGGAGAATACCACAGAAACGCTCAGCACGATGGCTAAGGTCTGCTTGAGGATGTTAGAAAATCCGTAAGTATCCACACACTCATTACAAACTCAAAACCCTTAGTATAAGTTTATAAGTCAAACTAAAAACGAGAAGTTTCCAGTTCGATCCATAACCATATGCTGATACTATCGTGTGAATAGGTTAGGCTAAAATAGAACTTTTGGTAGAAGAAGAAAATTTGTTAAAGTTGAATGTAAATTGTCTCCAAAAAATTTGTTGAATTCCTTCAAAGCATCGAAGTCTGAGAAAGTAAATTGCTGTGTATTTTCAGTCTCCACAAATCATTTCCTTTAGCAACTTTTCTGGCACCACTTTCTAAAGACTTGCACTGAAAGATCAATTTTCGTAGTTACGAATGAATGCAGCTTCTAAAGTTTAGCTACACGCCGTTTCTGACATAATCGACATTTACATTCTATACTAGCTGCGCCCCGCGGTGTCACCCGCGGATTTCCGGGATGTAAAATATCCTATGTGTTATTCCTGGGCGTTAGCTTCCTGTATACAAAATTTTATCAAAATCGGTTTAGCCGTTTGAGCGTGAAAAAGTAACAAACATACACACACCCTCACAAACTTTCGCAATTATAATATTAGTAGGTTTTTTAAGAGATTACATTTATGTTGTTAGTAAAATGCATTTGTGTATCGCACGTGGACATCCTCATTGCCGTGCAAGGGCGAATTATAGTGATGTACCAGCCGGGGTCAAGTGTCAAGTGTCGACATATGATATGACAGATGACATAATGCTTCATCAAATACTCTAGTCTCCAATTTCTATTCTATGATTTTTCTTCCTTGTTACAAATATTAAAACTACCAAATACGTATCAATTTTTATATAATACAAATTAATTGCCCTTAGAATATTTATGTTTTTTTGTTCAACTAAAAAGGAATATTTGTGTCGTCTTAAATCTTTTTTGTCTTTTAGCCATACAAAGAAAAAACTTTAATAAATATGGTATCGTGTCATACTGACATATAATTTGGATGAACTATGACAAATTGATTTTCAATAATGGCTTATCATGTATCAGATACTATATGGTGTGCAGCTTTTAACACGAACCGTCCTCTGACGTAGGCACTTCCTTATCAAACGTATTCGGTTATACTCAGTTGATGCGAAACACATGCTATATAAATTTAAACGAATCTAACCTTTATTACTTTGAGATATAGCTCAGAATTCCATGCTTGTATTTAATGATTACAATGTTCTGACTGGGCTACATCAATCGGGCGTCCCATTGAGTGACAATAGAGCCATGTGCCTTGAATGATAACATTAACAGAACTCGATGACACATTAATTAGAATCGCACGAAACATTTGAGATTTATTCTGTAATGAAAACAAAGTGATTTGATTCTTAAAGATCGACAATTTTATAAAGAATAGAATGGTTTATAGAATTGATCTCTTTAAAAGTTGTTTAAGAAAAACTACAACAAAATTATGAAAATTTTAAAGTCGAATAAGATAAAAGGCTTCTCATTAAATATGGAAATTTCTAATTGGATTTCTCTTCACGCATTTGTTAATTGAAAACACAATAAATTCTCAATCAGGGTGCCCAGTAAGTTTTGCATTGTTAACCCGAATACCAACGGAAGTTAGCTTGATCGGACGATTTATTGAATAAGATACCTTAAAATCATCTGTAATTAAGTTGATATTACAAAACTAACTATAATTTAAAGCGTTCAAGAATAACTCCAAAATATACTGATGACGTAATTAGTATTTGTATTAACTCTAAGAAAATTGCGAATAAATTATTATCTAACAAATTATTTGATACATTTTAAAGTAGCAAGTGAAATTAAAATCAAAACATCAAACAGTTTGTTATTATTTTGAAATGTCATCAATCGTTTTAACCTAAATATTGTTTTATAGCCGCGTTTTCCTCTGTTCTAAAATAGAGGCGTATAATTGGAACATCTCTGTTATAATTCACGTTTATAGTAAAAACATAAAATGTGCTTAAAGAACAAATTCAAAAGTATTTTCAATATAAATTGTTACGACTTAATTTCATTTTAGGTCTTTACTCACCAACTGTTTTGTTCTTGTAATAATGATTTTAACGTTAAGGATATGGGTTGATACTAGAATTTATATTCAAATATATGTATATATAGACACAGAGAGAGAGAGAGAAATAGTGATTGACACAAGTAGGACTCGAACCTACTACCTCCGTAATATCATGGTCCATTATTTTTGCCAATAGGTGCTATAGCATAATAAATAATGCAACTAGAATATGATATTCCCAAAGCTACAGTTTTGAACCTGTTCATATGACTAATTTTTCACTCTTCATCTTATATTTGTAACGAATTTTCCAACTGTTCTAGTAAATAATTAATATAATTATCCATAGTTTTCATATTTACTTTGTTATTTTACGACTGAGATCCGCCTATTTCATCCCCAACGATTACATCATCAAACAAGAATACGCGTAATTGAGAATTTTACAACTAACATCTCAAATGTTTATACTTTTATTCCACCACCGTCCAAAGTACGTTTGTATCCTTACCACGTTTTCGCCTCATTAACCTTAATACGTACAATTCGTTTTTCATTCATATATTTTCACTTGATAGGTATCAATATAAGTAACGATATATAGCACAGAAAGTAACAGTATTGATAGGTATATGAATGCTAATAAATATAATATACCTTTTCATAATATTATTTCGTTTCACAATACATAATAGTAGTATGATAGGTACAACCATTTCCACTTTACGAGGGGCCCCAACAACAGCTAGATATTCATAGCAGGTGTACATTAAATAATTCATAAATTTTGGTCACAAGAAAAACTGTTATGGGCGAAAGTTACTAGTAACTTCCGTTGGCTATAATTGTGAGGTGGATTTAGTCTTATAACTATAAAATGCGGTGTTATTAAAATTATAAAATGGAACCGCAACCGCTTTGGGAATCCATGGAATGCTGAGAAGTTTCGTCTCTTGTCTGTCTAAAATGAAAATCTAATCAAGAATGTTATTATCATGAATTGCTTAAAGATTTTTTGTAAGCTATATGACCACAAACATTAATTAAAATTAACTTCTCATTGTAAATGTCTTTTTACTTTTACAGCAAACTAGTCGCCCAATTCAGTCGCGAAGAGACATCACTCTTAGTACTGCGAGTGATGGTCGGTCTTATAATACTATACGACTGGGTCCATCCATCTGGCGCTTTCTGCCGTTCTTCATCAGTGGATGTGAAGGGTTGTGTTAAATTCCTCCAACAACAGCCACCTCCGAAGGCCGAGCCTCTCTTGAACGCTCTCAGATACACCACAAAGCATCTTAACAGCCAGTCCACGCCGCGGAACATTCGTAGTCTTTTGGCTGCGTGAGGACACCATTCAAGCCTTGCATGCTGTTGTGGGGATTGATGTGACAATAAACTAATGGGGATTTCTCGCTGGCATTTATTTCGCTATTTTGCTTCTCTGTAGCATGATCTTTTCTATTTATAACTATATTAACCCTTAGTTATATTCAAATTCAATATAATAATCCTATTACCAAAAGATCATGCTGCAATACTAATATTGTATAAGTAGATTAAATGTTGTAGTCTATATAGTGATTTAATGATACGTTTTATATAAGAGATGCTATAAATTTATACCAATTTAACAGTTAAAATTATAAGCGTAACTGAAATATTTAATGTATTAAAAAAGAATTCTAAGTGATACAGATTATATCTGTGAATGTAGACTATACATGCTTTTAAAGCGATTACAGATCAGTTATTTTTGAGAAATCTATCCCTTACCCCACAATTGTGCAAGGTTAAATTAAATGGTGTCACAGATTATGAGTCACTGTAATGTAGATAATAAAATAAGATATATTATAGATTAAATGAAATGTATTAAATAATAATAAAAAAAACTGCCTTGAAATTATGATAATCGGTTACCACAGAAATTGTGCAATAAGTAAAACCAGTGTTGAAATAAATTTTTGAGAACATTTTTACTACTCAATTAGAATATAAGATTAATGAAAGGAATTGATACAACTAACAGTTTTTAATACCCATGTGTTGTAGAGATATTTTATATAGAATAGATAGATGTATTGTGCAATCTTTCTTATCTTAAATATATATCATGTTACAAAACCTTCTCTGAACTATATAACTTCTATATTTGTTTCATAATAACTTGAAATTATATTAAACGGCTGATAATATGAAAACATAATTAAAGCCATTAATATTTTATTCTGTAAGTACTAGTAATGTAATTATGCATGTACCACTGCCTTGATGTTAACAAAGTAATTTTAAATGAATTTTATATATGTTTTAATATAAATATTATCTATACATTATATTTAATCTGTGTAGTTGCGCACAATGATGTATGATTGAGTCTAGAATGTCTTCCACTGATCATTTGCTGTAACTTATTTCCTAATATTAAAAAACTATGTTAATTTACCTATTTACATATATGAATAATTTTCCTATGCAAGATTTTAATATTTTTTTTGCTGATCTTGTTGTCTTCAGAGTATATCTTAGCACAAATATAAGTTAGTCTAGATGTTATGAAGTATTATATTAGTAGATTAGTTCATATTAATTGCACAGTTAGCACAATATTGTTGTTTATGTAGTTAAAAGTGTTATGTATTATTATATAGTGTAAATTTATTAGTAATTCTTACCTACCACTGCCTAAATTCAAAACTATCACTTGATTCGTATTAAAAGAAAATTTTGTCATACTAGAAACTTTTTAGATATTTAATGCCGTTATTTTACAAGAAAAACCTTTTTCAACTATATGCATTTAATTATTTTTATTACTGTTAAAAATTAACTGTCATTTTTCCTATGAATGATTGTGATGAATCCATCAAATGTTCTATTATAACTATAAACTAATAATTTTATTATATAATTATAAATTTGGTTACTATTAAAATATGAAAAATATCAACATAAAATTGTACTACTTATTACTATTAATTCTATTTAAAAAACATCCTTTATATGTGATCTGTTAACTTTTAAAACAATTTATAAAAGCAAATACTATAACAGAAATGATTTTCTAGAAAAAATATTAGGCATATTCAAATAATTTGTTCATTATTATTGAATTTAAGTCAATTGTGTTTAAATATAGTTAAGATGTATTATAAATATATTTTCTTAGTTGTCATTTATTTATTTATAATCAACACACCAAAGTTATAAATAATAAACAAATAGGCTCTCAGTATGTGTTTTATTTAACTTAACGATATTTAATAATTATTTTATAGTAAATGTATTAAGTATTCGCTGGTCTTGGTTTAAGTATGAGCTTTCCGGTTTCATCGCACGACATGTTGAAGTCATTTAGCACTGAACGTGTTCTTGCCGTTATAATGCTGGGTGCGATGACTTTTCTATGGACTCCCGTCATAAATAGTAGAACTGGAATATTAATAATGACAACATTAATCATGTGATTATTAAGTGACATCAACAGGGAATGAATTAGAACTATATATTTTTACCATTCAAAAAATGCAAAAGCTAAATACTGGCTTCATGATTCACATAAAAGAAATTGAATTTACAATTTCTGAGATATAGTTTCAATGCATTCTTTAATTAAGCCATATAGCCCTGAGTGAAGTGAATTATTTTTGTTGAATCTATATATTATTTGTTGAACTATAACCAGATTGCAAGAGTAAAGTTAAAAGGTCATAATTTTGCATTAAGTACTTAGGAAGTTTTCAAATAGCCGTTTCTTCTTACTTTTTACTTAAATATTGGATTGATTATTGATTTGGAAGCAAATAATAATTTAACAATAGAATGCCAATGTAGGGATTATGAGAAATGTTGTAACAATCAAAGTAAAATCTTTAATTTGATTACTAAGAAACATATAGCACCAAATGTAATTAGTTCAAAAACTGCTAGAAAAATGATAATATTGATATTTTTATTCTACTAACCTAGAAAGGTAGATGTAAATGCAAAAAATGGGTGATTCCAGAGAGATTGTGTGAGTGATACCACAGGAGTTAAAGGATCAGTCAGCCAGTGCCAGGCGGCTATAGCTGTACACACGGACACCACAGCAAGAACAACTGGAAAATTATAAAAAAATTACTTCATACTATAAACATGTGAAAAATTTGTTGTAAAAGTTTTAAGCATCACATATTGTTGAGATATAGTGAATTATTATTTATTTCCAAAGAGGGTTGATGTCAGCCAGACGGCCGCTCGTAAAAACAATTAGCCAAAAACTATGCACTACATGTAAGGCAGACCCTGGCTAAAAGCTGGGAAATTGCCAGGTAGAAGAGATAATGAATTATTATTTCATAAACAAATATACTAACTTCTCCATCTCATAGTAGCCGGCTGGAGACATGCTATCACCTCTGTTAGGCGTCTTTCAAAAGCCTTCAGGTCTGTAAGAATTGCTTGCAACATTAGAAAAAACGTATTTTAATATTTAGTCGTATAATAAACTATATTTTTTCCCGTATGAATTCTCTTCTATCTTAGTTATAAAACTTATACTTAAATAGTTCTTTAAATAACTACTTAATATATTTTTCACTTACCATCACAAGCAGTTTGTTCTAAAGACATTACAATTTATTAATTACTAGTAACTTTAATGACTACCCGTATCAGATTTTTAGATAATTAATATTATTAAGCACTTATCAATTTACGTTTCAAAAATAGATATTATCATTTTTTTTATTAATACCTAAGGTTTTTTAATGTTGACGAATAATAGAGAAACGAAAGCAAAAGACGGGAAACTTTTGTCACCTGCCACTGTCATTAAAATTGTAATGTCAAGATCAGAGATGTTCGTTCAAAAATCTTGCTGTATGGAAAACGACGACTTTTAATATTTAAAATCTTAGTCTCCATCCCCGATTCTCACGGGCAGTTTTTATTTTATTTTATTTACGGTTCACAAAACAGATTATAACTAAAGATACAAATTGATCAGTAATCATTATAAATAAGCTGAGTTATAACCCAACTACTATGTGAACACAGATTATATACTAAATATTTAACTTATAAAAACAAAAGTACATCAGCACTTAAAAATACATTGTAGAGTATAAGTTTACAGAAAATATATAATATGTTGCGTAAAAAGCGTTGACTTTTTGAGTTAAATCAAGTCAAACAAAAAATCTTCATCATCTTTCTTCGTTAAACATATTTTAAGTTGGAATTAACAAATATTGTATTTTTAATGTTAATATTTTTTTGTGTACAATATTAATGTGAAAAAGTGAGTGAACTATCACGCGGATTTATTTTTGAGAATTACATATTAAACTTTTCTTATGATCGCTAAATTTCAAATGGTATTTCCGAGCTAAATAATTCAAAACATAGTTTACAGATGATGCTGTATGCTTGAACATGAAGTAATTTATTTTGAAAAGGCTTAATACCGTAATTATGTAAATAGCTTTTCTATTGGCGATTCATGAATGAAATTTTTTTAAAGTAGCAAAATGGATATAGTATATTATCTTTAAAAGGTAGACATATGCCATCCCAGACTTTTCTGTAGACCTATCTAAGATACACAATTCCTCAAATTTTGTTTTACTATATCTCAAAGGCTTTAAGTTGCATTTTCGTTACAAACTCCCAGACGGATAACTTTTCCCAATATCTTCAACAAATATAGTTAATGTACACACAAATAAATACAAAAACGTAACTTTATGTATTAAAACCTTTCTCAAGAACAGCACTATCGACTATTTAAATCCACTTGATTATAATCAATGCAGTAGTTTTTCTGTTTATCACGAACAGACAGACAGACGCGGCTCGCGACTTCATTTTATGATAATGTATTGATATCCGTTATATAAATTATAAAATCAACCTATCACCATAACTAGTTACCACAAATTGTCCCTCTATAGTTTATCATTATTACTACTTCATTAGTAATCTAATTGCTAAAACATTTCCACCCTAGCGTACTTATTCTCTGAGCAATATCCATAACTTTAGATCGCCCCCATACGATTTACCTCCGAATTTGACCTGGTTTAAAAAACTCATAGCGTTGTGTACGGTGTACCTCATAAGTCTCTTAGTAATTTTGAATTTATAAACTAGGTCTACGGAGAGTGTCAAAATTTTGAAATTTTCTGAATCGTTTTGCCTAGACATTCTGGCAAAATGTTGAAAGTGTTGAAGGGTTTAATTAATGTAAAGTGTAAACGAAGCTGTAGCTTAAACAAATAAACAGAAATAAATGTTTAAATTAATAAAGCTTCTGTTTCAATCCCGCGACTTAATGACATGCTCTAATACAAACCGTTTCAAAGTTAAGTTAAATTTTCCGGGACTTATTCCTCAATAGAATAAAATTGGCCTTTTCTCTGTTTTGTACTAATTGAGAATAATATTAAACAATATCGATACGCTTATACTAGCGTTACATGAATTTAAAATTCGTTTTAACAAATTACATAACGATATTTATTAAATGACAAAACTAGACCACAAGAAGAGTATTATTTTGAAAACATTGTGATCTACTCACAATAATTCAAGTTTGTCAAAAGTTTCGTACTTATTTTTTAGAGCGAGATTGATTAATATGAAGGTGTTACTGAATTTTTATGTATAACTAGTTTTTGCCCGCGACTTCGTCCGCGTTAATTTCATCATTAGTAATATATGTATAGCTGACCGGGCGAACTCTATTCCGTCCTAAAGGCCATAAATAATCAGGTTTTTCCTGTTTCAATCGAACAGAATGATTGACATATTAGTTAGTTGTCAAATCTAATGTCAAAGAAAACATTTGTATGGGAAATAGAAAAGGGCTGTTTTTAGGGTTTTCCCGAAAATGAATCAATTTTTCTCACCTTTTAAACCTTCCCTGAACCTCCACGAACATTTCAAGACTAAGATAAGATAAATCCGTTCAGCTGTTCTCGAGTTTTAGCGAGACTAAGGAACAGCAATCCATTTTTATATATATAGAAGATAGAAGATTATGTCAAACCATTTTTTTCAGTTCCTATTAAAACAAGCATAATTTATTATGTCGGTTGAAAAAAAAAACAAATCATGTTGAATTTAATCGAAGCTTGCAAAATATGGAATTTTTATATAAATGAATAAAAAAGTGAATATAAGGGAAAAAGCCACTAAGTAGGGGAGCGGGGGGCACGTTGTTGCAGGGGTAAGAAGTTACACGCATTTTTTACCGGGATTTTCAACTCTTTGGTAGACGTAAGTGGACTCATTTGTTTTCTTATAACATCGTGCGTTGCAAAAAAACAATCAGGGACCCGCCAAGCGGCAAACTGTTAGGTTATGTGCATGTGTCTCGATTTACATCAAGTACGAAACAAAATCTTTTACGAAATTTTTGATTCCTGCTGTCTATATTTGTTATTCTCTAAATTCTTTTCGCCTCGAACGTTCATAGTGTATCGAGTTTTAATTTGTAATAGCGTTTTATTCTGCTATTGATATCCATTAATGGCGGCTTTAATTTTAATAAAAAAACACACTATGGGGCAGGTTGTTACAGTTTTTCGGGGTAGGTTGTTACATGTAACAACTTGCCTCAGATCTTGTATTGCCGTTCATCTCATTGACTATCATTTAGAAATTACTACGCTGTACTTAAAATTTAGATGATGTGCTGTACTTTAAAATGCAGATTCGTCAAGTTTTAAAAATAAAATTGAATTAGCGATACCAGGTCCATCTGGTATACAAAGTACATTTGAAAATTTTTCGCCTTCAAAGATAAGGTCCTTTCCCAAGGCAGAGGCTCGACAAACAATCCATCCATAACCGTCGTAAACGTAAGTCCGCTGTATTAACCGACACACCTGAAAAAGACTCATTACAAAAAGAGTATGAAGAAAAACTGGCCAAGACCAAAAAAAAACTGTTTATACAGTATTGTATACGTAACTATAAATTTTATTGCAAAATAAGTGTCTTGAAAATGTTGGATTTTAGTTTGACTGAAGTGCCAAGTTAAAAAAGTATAAATAATTTATTACATGTTGGTATTTACTGACGAAGTTTTCTAATTCCGTAATGAAAAAGTGTTTTATATAAGATTTAAGAAAGTTCCTGCCAAAGTTATGTGATTATTACTGTTAAAAAGTTGGAAAATTATGATATAGATATTATAAATGCTCATAAATGTTATAAGACTGATCAAAATAGTTTTTTTTATTCATAACGTTTTGAAATAATAAAAAATAAGTGATTTATTATTGTTCATTTTGTTTATTTACCTACTGTAACATCGTGCCCCGAAGCTGTAACAACTAGCCCCAAGTCAGGGGTAAGTTGTTGCAATCTACTTATTTCATTAATTCTCTATTTTGGGAAAAATTACGTAAATTTTAATAATTTTCCAATTCTATTCTACTAGCTGAATAGACACACTAATGGTAAAAGCAATCAAATGTATACATTATTTGATAGCTTTTGTGATATTAACAATTATCTAAAAATTGTAACAACGTGCCCCCCGCTCCCCTAGCTGTAATAAAAAATAAAAAAATAATCTTATTAGAATCGCAATAATGTGAGATTTTTTCTTCTTCTTAAACACTTAGAACCTCGAAATGACTTCGTACGTCGTAGTCAATGATATAAATTATTATTTGTTTAACATTTTATCTTTAAAGAAAATAAAAACATATATCGTGATACGCATATATCTTATAATAAACAGAAAGAATGAAGACTAAATAGACTTGAAAGTACGCATTATTAGAACATCTTTGACTAAAAGGTTATGCGATTGCGCGACAAAGTCAATTATTGTTCACTGAGTATGTTGTTAAGCAACATTTTTTTTATTTATATACCTACTTTAATTATTTGTTATGTATTTGAATTATAGAATATGTTCATGCTATCATAAGGAGTTAGCAGTAACAAACTAGGGACTACGGAAAATAAAACCTCAATTATTTAAAAATATCTCCTTTCTCCAATCCAATTAAGTATGTAAGTTAATGTGGAATCCTGCTGGTTTTCGGACACGGTTTGTTAGAAAAGTGTCTGTGCTCTTATATAAAAAGCACGTAAATCTGGACAGTATCACAGTTCCAGCTTAGGACATCTGCGGTCAGCACTATAATATAGAGAAAATGGTGGGAAAATTCATGTTCGTACTTTTCGTAGTCACCATCTTCCAGTTCTACTCGTCTCCAGTGTCAGCCAATCCCTCCATCATCACTGGATACGACCCCATGGAAGTGTGCATTGAGAACTGCGCTCAGTGTAAGAAAATGTTGGGAGCATGGTTCGAAGGACAGCTCTGTGCGGAATCATGTATTAAATACAGAGGAAAGATGATCCCGGACTGTGAAAACTACGCTTCCATTTCACCATTTCTAAACAAACTTTAAAGGAAATAACGTAATAACAAGGTCTAAAGTAAATAATCAGTATTAAATGTGTGATTTGATTGAAATAAAACTTATTTAATAATGAAACATGTATTTCTATATTTATTTTTTGTCATTTCTAAAGGCCCAAAATTGTGAACACAATCAGGTATAATATAAATTATTATAGAGCATAAGTATAGTTTTTATATATGT